TCAAAAATGCCAAATATCCGGGCAAAGAAGATATGAGACCAGAACAGCTTAAAGCAGAAGGAATAACCCTTAAGGCGCTTGAAAAATGTTTTACATCAGGAAAAGAAGACGCCTAAGGTGTGGAAGACATCAAGAACGATTGCTCTCATGCGTAAAGGAAACTTCTAAGCTTTTCACCTGCATCATTCTCAATCGTATTTGGAACGATTTTATTACAGTTCGGAAACAGCGTTTTTCGTCCAATGTTTTCCTGTGACTGACCATATACGTGTCATCTAGCAGCTGACGGAAAAGTACAACGAATATCAGGTACCGTTCTGTTACGCAACTGCAAGAAGGCGTTCGCTTCGACAGAACTGACCGCTGAGTTAAACCCCTTGCACGGCACAGCATGGCATAAATCCTGTAAAGTTCAACCTGGTCGATGAATTGAGTACCGATTGCATTACTGACATCGAATTGTTCAGCACACCATTTCGCACCATCGTCCATCGATGAGTACGCTAAGGAGATACCTTCTCAGCTGCGGCCATAGAGTCACACTTCAACCGATTAAATGGCAACAGTACTGATGATGAACGTCTAACGAATTTGTCATTTGAGGACGACTGCATCGGTCTTCACGCAACATGATGGGACTCCACCATACGTTTTAGTAGTTGCGAGAAGAACCTCTCACGATCCGTTTGGAAGTTAACCTCTCCAAAGCGAAATGAACGCGAAACGAGCTCCGCCTCGAAGGCTCAATCCCCGCGAATGGCGAAGAGCTCGAAGAGCGATTCACCAGCTATACATACCTTAGCTGTATAAACTCACTAGTTGGGGAAATCAGTCGAAAAACGATTACGGTATTGGCCAGCTTTAATCGTATTAAAACATGATTATTCGACAGTGCACTGCCTACAAGTACGAAGAAAGCTCTGTTCGATTGAGTCATCCTACCTGCTTGATCTATGGCGCTGAATGTTGGTCTGCTGATCAAGGTGAGGGAAACAGACAAAGAGAAATAGGCAAAAAGCGATGGAGGGAAAACGTGCAGCAGCCTCTCCATGTTCAGGTTCGAACAACAAATCGATGGACTGAATTTACAGCGTAATTTCTGCTTTTAACGACGCATCCCCAGGAGCAGAAAGACGGGTCATGTGGTTCACCTGAGAGATAACCGCCGGATGTCAAGAACTCCAAACTTGGTTCCGCTACATCACCACTGGTCGTTAGACCAACAACACGCCGGGATCATCTAATGGTCAAATGACCTGGTCAGCAATGAAAGCAGAAAAAGGGTACTAGCATTCCTGGCGCCCAGAACGATGATAAGCCGGAAACAGATTGCTGCTATTAGATCAAATGGCGAAACTGACTACGGTATTTTCCGTTCAGATGAAACTGCCGGTTTTGCTTGCGTATTCTAAGGTATTGTTTCATAGTTAGTGACTAGTTGGCAGAATCTTCTACCGTATGCTTAAATTGGCGAAATCAACCATTGATGGATGTGCATGCACTTCGAAAACAGAGTGGTCCATAGTGTAATCCGGCTTGACGTAACATAAGGTTATGTTCGGTCATTCTTAGCTAATCCAAAAAATTCAAAAACTCGCAGGCACTAGCAGAGACCGTAGCTGTGAGTTAAAATAATTAATTTCATCTCCTGAGTTCAATCGATATCGTGGTAACCTGCCCAAGCCGAGTTGATTTATGATGGTCACATTTTATCTCTATGTCCCTTTAAATGAGCAATGGCGATAGGTATCATCGTCTATACGATCCTAGTTGTGTCAGTTTC